CCCGTCTCACGTCTGCTCCCGGAAGCCACGAGGGTGTTTCCGTGGCAGCCAGGTGACAGGCTGGCTGTCCTTCCATCTGCAGACCCTCGAGTCGGGCCAGCTCTGCTTCCTCGCTTGGTTTCTCAGCAGCTACGTCACAGGGTCATTGTGAAGGTCAGGTGCTCACGCCGTCTGCCCGCTGCCAGGCTGCCGTTCTTGTCACTCCTGCAGGGGGACCCGTCGGGCCCAGAGGGTTGGGGGCACCTGTTTTTTGGTGATGGTGGGGCTGGGGGAGGTCTGCTGAGTTTGATTTGAGACAGGTGAGCGCAGAGATGGGCAGGGGTAACAGAGGAAGAGGCTGAGGGAGGTGGGTCAGGATGGCCGTTTGGGGCCAACGCCGGCCCCCCGACCTTCGGACGATTTTCTGCCCCCGCGAGAGGGGTGGGCTCCCGGCCCCACCCCCGAGAAGGGTCCCGGGAGAGGCTTCACAAGCATGAATTATTGTCCCCACAGCCTGGGAGGTCAGACTGGGTGCCCGTCTTGCAGATGCTGAGAGAAATAAAGTCACACGCTCTCCTTCCAGCCTCCGGGCCCACCCCGCGTTGGGCCTTGGTTCCTGAACCTCTCTGTGCCCACTGACGCTTCTGCCAAGTGGAGACACAGCAGTGCGCCTCTCAGCCGGTGACTGAAAGGGGGACGACAAGGGGGACGGCGTGCGCATTTGCCACCGGCCCGGAGCGGGAGTGCTGTGAGGCAGCCAGCGTCCCTTTGTCATTATTTACACACTGCCAGGCTAGGGCTCGGACATGGAGAGACCACAAGTGACGCAGCCCACTGCGCTCCTGTGCCCGCCCCCTCGGAGGATCTGTCCCCAGCAGGAGGCGTCTGTCACAGACACCTCGCTTGCCCGACTCGAGGACAGAGGACGTTGTCCCTCGGCTGCTGAGTGTCTCGCTAAGTGCACTCACAACCCGGGGCCCCCAGAGGCTCCTCCAGGGATGGAGACGAGATGGGGAGAAACGAGTTGCAATGCGGGCCATGACTGCTGCTTTGCAGAGGCAGCGGGGGGTGGGGCCTTCTCCAGGGACTGGGAGGCCTTCGGATTCGTCGGTGTGCAGGGCCGGCATTTGGACTGCGAATGTCAAACAGATTCTGCAGGGCCCAGGCCTGCGTCCCAGGGTGGGGCCTGGGCCTCTGCATTTATTAACTGGCTCTTGGTGGAGCTGGCGCACCCTGAGGCTGGCATAGGGGGGTGGGGGGTGGCTTACGAAGGCCAATGTGACCCTCCCCCAGCAACCCACATGGGATCTGAGGGTCTCAGAAACAGGAAGGAGCATCTTTGGGTTTGCACATTTTATTAAGATAGTCGATTCTTAAGTTATTTCTCTGTTATTCAGAAAGCATTCTGGAGAGAATATGCACTGTCTGTGTAGATATATAAAAATATATCAGTCACTTTGCCTCTCCTGGACTGAGCTCCGAGGCCCCATCCTCACCAGCATGAGGATGCAAAAGCCCCAGGCTTTGTCCCGCCTGGGGGATGGATGGGGTGGCGACCGGGGTGGATCCATTCAGGTCTGGGGGCATTTCCATAGACACCTGGGGCTTCTGGGGCATCTGTCCCAGGGAGCAGCCGGCTGGGAACCCCAGCCCCAGCGAGTCCTTGCTGGTCTTCGTCTTCCGACATCATACATGCGAGGTGAACCCTGTAGCACTGTCACCACGGTAACAGGCAGCCCAGGCCCCCCGCAGTATCTCTTTAAGGCGACAGCTACACCTGAGCCTTAGGCAGGTGACAACAGACATTTCTGGAGAGCTTCAACGCCTCCCCTTGGCACCCAGCACTCTGCCCCCCGGAAGTGCTGGTCCTGGAGGCCTTGTGTGGACGGAGGCTGACAGGGACGCCTTCGAGCGAGACTCGGGACGCAGAGCTCAAAGGCCTCAGTTCAGACGGGCTATGCCCTCCACTCGGGGGCAGAGGACGCTGGGACAGCTAAGGCGGGGTCTTTCCTAGGCTGCAGACCCCCCGTATGACCAACATCAGCCCAGGCATTCGCGTCCAGCCTTTGCCCAGCCTCCTGCTGCTTGTCCCCCACCTCATGCTCCTCAGAGAGCTGTGGCCAGGCTGCCTCACCGCTTTAGGGGCCAGCAAAATGGATGCGTTGACAGAGTCCAGCACGGGGACACCCCGCCAGGCAGCCAGGTCCTCGGCCTCTGCACCTCCCTACCGACCCGGCTCCAGGCCGAGCCCTGGAGTCTATGGTCCTTCCGCCCCCAGGGCTCCCGCCCGGTTACGTGGGGGCCCGGCCGCCCCGTTAGAGCGCTGTGGGCCCCAGGAGGCAGGGCCCGGGGTGCTGGCACAGCTGGAGCTGCACGCTGGCCGTGAACCAGCGGCTGGGCCGGCCCAGGCTGCAGTGCAGGGTGGTGCGGAACGAGCTGCGGGCCTGCTTGGGGAAGATGATGGTCGTGCTGCAGAAATGCAGGGCGCGCGGGCGCGGCTCCAGGGTCAGCTGGCTGCGGTAGCTGCGCCACGTGCAGTTGGGCGCGGCCACGATCGTCTCGCTGTAGGCCGTCACCGTGGGCACCGGCGCGTAGAAGACGTTGTCCCGGAAGTGCTTCTCGGAGGTGTACTTGACCTCGGAGTTGCAGCTGGGGGGCGGGAAGGCAGCGGGGTGAGTCCCGGATGGGGGCAGCCTGGCACCCCCCGCAGGGACTGGTGGCCGCGGCACTGTGGCCGTGACTCTGGAAAGCGCCCTCGGCAGAGCCCTTAAACACACGGCTTGGGCTGGTCCCCAAGGTCAAGGCCGAAAGGTCAAAGGGGTGCCGAGCGCCAGCGCCCGCTGAGAGGGGATGGCTGATGCCGCACGTGACGCTGGCTGGGTCCTGAACCGGGATGCAAATATGCCCTAAAAGGATATTTTGGGACAGTGGACAAAACTGGACTCTGCAGCGGGGACTGGACCCCTCGGTGGATAAAGGGACAGTTACCGTCGCGTGGAAAACAGGGCGGCCCAGCGCTCCCGGGACGGCGGGGAACCGCCGGCGGGGGAAGGGGGCGGCGGCGCATGTGCACAGAGGGCGGGGCGCCTGCTGAGCCCTCCCCACTCCGCCCCCACCCCGGGGGCAGGACCCCGAAGCCCACTCACCGGATCTCGGGTGTGGGTTCTCGGTTCACCTCGACGCCCTCCCCGAAGAACACGGGCAGTAGCCGGGGCCTCATCTCCAGTGCAGGGGTGCTCGGGCGGAGGGGCGGAGGCTGCGGGGAGACCCACAGACCCCCGGTTACAAGGCCCTTTGGCACCGTGGCCTCCGCTCCGCATGGGCACAAGAGCGCCACTCATACGCTTCCAGCGCTGGCCCGCCTCCCGAGCCCAAACCCACTTGGCAGACCTGGCCCTCCCACGCCCGCGGCCCAGCCCCCAGCGTGCGGAGCGGCTGCCGCCCCATTTTCTCTGCCCGCCTCCCGTCATTTCCCCCCTGACGTGCTCTCTGTCCCCTTCCTCCAGTGTCCCGGGAAAATCTGTCACTTGATTATCCTGCACTGACACTATGCCCAGAGGGGGGCCCAGAAAGGCGGCATTTTGAAGCGGACATCTGACAGGTGACAGGCCCGCTCCCTGACACCTTGCTCTTGCCAGCCTCCTCAAGGTTGTGCAGGGACAGTGACTTCATCCTGTAATTCACTCCATTCCGGCGAGTGGGCCTGCGCTGGGGTCTCACCCGACCTCACAGCAGCCCTCAGCTCTTTCTCCCGCTTTACTGCCAGCGTGGCTGCTGTGGGCTCGGCGATGCCAGCCTGTCATCGGCTAGTTCCAGCTCTCTGCTTTCCACTCATGTGGTGGGAACCCCACTTCCCGTTCCCCCGGGGAGTTTGAGGACCTGGCGAGTTCCGCCTGTGCCACCTGTCACCTCCAGGCCAGCGCAGGAGCCTCCAGAGCCCCCTCTCCCTCCTGATGCATCACTCAAGGTGGAGGCTTCGTCACCAGCCGTAGAGCCTCAGTTCCTCCGAGGGGCAGACCACCCAGGCCCCTACATCGTGGTCAGCACCCCTCTCTGGGGCCACAGCTTTCTGGTCCCGGAAGTGGGCCAACAGGAGCACCTGCCACACAGGCTTCCACAAGGCCCAAATGGGTCACGGCATCTAGTGTGTGGCCAGTGCCCGGCACGGAGTAAGCACTGGGAGAAGCTGGCTGGTCCCGTGAGGCATTCTCATGGAGGTCTGGGGTGGGGGGGGAAGCGGGGGGAGAGAGGTACAATCCACACCCTTTGGACCTTGAAATAACACCGTTCCCACCTTCTAGAAGCAAGCACACAACGTCTCAGGAGACTGCATTAGGAACAAAAAGATAGTGACAAGATTCAGACGCTCCCAGCATCCTCCACGGCTCCCCCGGCTAAAGTCGGCGCTGACCCCAGCTGCAAAACTCCATGACCTGACAGTTAGAGAACCAACCCTCTCCCTCCAAAAGATGTTTCTCAACAAAGACGTGTGCAGGTGTTTGCTGAGCACCTACTATGTGCTGAGCACCTACTGTGCACCGGACCCTGCGTGGGTGGGTGAGGTGCAGTGCCTCCCAGGGCCCTTCCTGTTCAAGGGGGTGGGGAGTGACGTGTGGCCACTGGGGAGAGAGGATGGTGCAGGCACGTTCTGTCCAGATCGACGGAAGGGCTGGACGGAGAGAAGCAGCCTGCGATGGTTTTAACCACCCTACCCCTCACTCTCTAAGAAAGAATCACCCCCAAGCTCACAGGAGGCCTTGAGAGCCGAAGCCGGGGTGCTATTCTCCTGGGCCCACCCGGGCTGAAGGAACGGCCGAACCCCTGATGCCGCCTGAGCGGACCTGGGTCGGGCGTGACGGCAGCCGCATTCCGGCCGGATCTCGCTGCCCGGCTGGCCGCCCGCACAGGAGACGAGGCTCGCTTCACAGCTGGGCCCGAAGCCGGAGCTCTGGGCACCGATTTCCAAAGGACGCAGTGGAAAAACATCTCGAGTCCGCCCGAGCTGGAAGCACCACACGAGAGATACGAACGGCCGGCGAGGACCCAGACCAGGCTGGCATCCAGCGGGCCTGGTGGCGAGACAGCTCCGGAAGGCACCGCCGAGGCCCAAGGACGCCCCGAAGGGCCCCAGGGCCGGACACGAAGGGAAGACAGGCAGCCACCGGGTGCCAGGAGCGCAGAGCCGAGTCTTCCTGAAGGGCCGCGGGTGACTGAAACAGCACAATGGCCGTGCGGCCGTGGCACCCAGCCAGCCGGAGAGTGGGCACAGAGCACGCCTGTCACAGCCAAGGAGGCACAGGGCGGGCCCCGGGAGGACACACGTCCAGCCACACTGGGCCAAGACGCTCCCCAAACACTGAGTCACATTCCAATGGGAGCCGCCAGGGTGGGCTGGGGAGGGGCTCGTGTGGGGAAGGGCACAAGGGGCTCCCCTGGAGGGCTGAACGCCAGAGGCCAGCTCCCCTCGTCACAGCCCCAGGGTGGCCACACCCCAAAGGCCCTGTGCCCGCTCCCCTGTACAGAGAACCAGGCGCCTGCTCACTCAGAAGCAGCTTCCACACCTGTAGAATGAGCCTAGGACAAATGACTGAGGTGCGGCCTGCCCAGGGCAGGGCAGGGGGAGAACAGTGAGGTCCAGGCACAGCCAAGCTGAGAGGCGAAGGCCGAGCCCCCAGTCTCCCAGGCCCCACCCTCCCCTCCCTGGACCCCCCAGCTCCTTCGAGGGGACAGGAGAGCCCTGCTGAGGCCTGGGGGCCGGCTGGCTCCCGTCTCTGGGGCAGGCAGGGGTGTGTGTGGGGACCCGGGTGGCCGCAGAGGGATCCAGAGGACAGGCAGCCGCCTCCCCGGTGATTCATGCGCCTTCTGCGGGGTAAACACCGGCCGCTGTCGGCTGGAAGTGCACACACACAGGCGCTTTGGCGTGCTCCCGTTCCTGGCTGCCGTGCAGGTCGTGGCCTGCAGAACGCACAGGGATGACCACTCTCTTGTGAGAGCTCTGTGCCACTCGGTGACAGCCCAGCCCAACTGGGGGGCCTGGCTGGCGGGGACAGGTAGGCACAGCACAGCAGTATTTGTGCCCAGCCTGGGTGACGCGCGTGGCCTGTAGCTGCCACGATGTGAGACAGAGCCGAAGCCACACGGGGCCCACAGAATGGTGAACTCTCTGCTCGGCCAGGGAATGAGAAGCCCCGATCGGTGGAGGGGCCTGCACTGCTGCTCCTGCAGAGAGGGGCCACCAGGGGGACCCCACGCTGGCATGGGCAAGGGGCGTCCCCGCCAAAGCCACAGGAAGCCTTCGCACCCGCCAGAATGGCCTCGCTGGCCACGGATGGCTTCTGTCGCAGCTGGAGTTAAACGCGATTATCTTCTGCTTGTATTAAGGGTTTGGGGCCGAAAGCTCGCACGGTGGTCTAAGGCTGACCTTCACCGTCATCTGTGTGGAAAGTGGTCCAAGGAAGGGACCTTGAGGAATTCTCACCCTTCTTATGAAAAGCCTTGAGTACTGGGGGCAAATTCTGGGGCAAGGGAGGGGCTCCTTACGCTCACTGCCCTCCCCCAACATGGCACAGCAGGGCAGCTGGACGGGCCATTCGGGGAGCCCAGAAGACCCCGAATGGAGTGGCCTCTCCCTGGAGAGCCACAGAGCCTCATGGGACCAACACAAACCCCACAGGCCCGACTCTGACACCCAAAGCAGCAAAACCGTGAACAAATACCAACATCGGACTGGAGGCAAAGCTCAAGGACCGGCCTGCTCCCGGAGACAGACAGCCAGGGTGGCAGGCTGGCTTGTGACCCCTACAAAGATATGTGACCTGTGAATGTGACCCTACTTCGGAAGAGGGTCTTTGCAGGTCTGGTCAAGTGAATACAAAGTGCCATCGGATAAAGTGAGAGTCTTAAATCCAGTGACTGGCTTCTTATAAGAAGTAGGGGGTCTGGACACAGGACACGCCCAGCGAAGAAGGCCATGAGATGACAGGGCGGAGACCGCAGTGCTGCCTCGATAAGCCAAGGGACACCGAGGACTGCCAGCCGCCACCAGAAGCTGGAACGGACACGTGGAGTGGCATCTCTCCTACAGCCTTCATAGGGAGCCGGCACCTGATTTCCAGCTCCTGGAGCCCGGAACTGTGAGAGAAGGAATTTCTGTTGCCACCCAGTTTGTGACTTTGTTACAGCAGCTCTAGAACGGGCACCTGCAAGATTCCGCCAGCCCATGAAAGGGGGCGGGGGACGATGACCCAGGACACAAGAGCCCTTTAGTGGGCAACGACGGGCTTGGGGCAAGGCTTCCCACTCCCCATGAAGACTCGGCACTGTCGCTTCCTCAGAATGCATCCCACAAGGACCGGCGGCCTCCAAGATCGTGACCTGCCTTCTGTGCACAAAGAATCATGCTCCCACAGCCCGCTCTGAGGGGAGTCCTGGTCTGCTGCAAGGGGGACACGTATTCCCACATTCCGACGTCACTGAAGCAGGTCCCGGGGGCCAGGAGTATGAACAGACCCTGCTGACCCCAGGAGTTCACGGTCAGATCCTGGCCGGTGGCCTTCCCCCAGGAGGGTGGCTCCTGCCCGCTCCCCTGTCCGCAGAAGGCCGTGGGCCTATCTGTCTTGTCTTCATGCGACAGCTACACACAGAGCTGAATTTCTCGGGCAGGTGAGCTGGCGCGGAGACGTGGGGCTCGGGGTTGGCTGAACTTCCACTGGAGGCCGGTGCATCCCGGATCAGGCAGACGGGCTGACCAGCGGCGCCAGTGTCTCTGGCTTCTCCCCGACTCCTCACGGCCGCCCTTTCAGCAGACTGGCTCCTCCCACCTTGGCCTGACACACCTGGCTCTCCTCCATCAGAGCTTGCTCAGACACCTGTGCTGCTCAGGGACACACCTGGGAGCCTGCGAGGGGGCCGTGGGGGCTGACTCCCGTCTCCTCAGTCCATCTGTCTGTCCATCCATCCATCCATGTCCATCCTTCTATCTATCCATCCATTCATTTATTCGCCTGCTCACCCAACTTTCTATTTATTTGTTCATCCATCCATCCATCTATCCATCCACCCACTCAATCATCCATCCATCCATCCGTCTATCCATCCATCTATCCACCCATCCACTCACCCACCTACCCACCCATCCATCCACCCACCCACCCACTTGTCCGGCCGTCCTCCCTAATCCTGGGCCCTAACTCCCTAAATCTCTGGTTCCTTTTCTTCTCCTTCGTCCTTGGTCTCACCATCGCAGACCAGAAACAGAGAAATGAGCGGATCCGGGATGCTGAGAGGGCGGCGGTGACAGCCGAGATCCTAAGAGGTGGCGGCTGTGACCATGGGTGGTCTCGAAGAGCTGGGCAGCCCTGGGAAATTTTCAAAGATGGGGCCAAGACACCTCACTCCCCACCACCGATTCTACCCACGTGCAGCCCGCAGGCCTTCTTTCAGAATCTGGGTCCGAGAAACCAGCACCTCCTCCTTAGGGGCGTTCTCAAGTAGGCCACTCAGAAACATACCCCGTAAACAGACTCAGCAGATGGGACGGGAGTGTCCAGAGCAATGCAGGACGGGCCCAGGCTGCGGCTGCTGGAGAACCCCATCTCCACATCTGAGGGGTGACCACTTAGACCGTCACCCCCGTCACCACTCCACAGCGGGCTGAGTCCTGCGTCTGCTGGACACGTGAAACCGTGTGCTTCTCCCCCACCCCGTGGTGGCTGTTCCTCCAACGTGCACCCCGGGAACTCGGCCGGAGATGCCAGATGCTATCTGTGTTCTCCCCGGGGGCGATGGGGCAGGGTTGTTAACTTGGGGAGACAGGCGTCTGCTGCGCACACCCATTCACCCTACAGGCAGCAGGATGCATCTCCCCATGACGCCCCCTGACCCAACAGCTGGGCCAGGCAGGATGGGGAGGAAGAAGGGAGGACATCGCTCAACCTCGAGCTGGCGGTCCAGGCCCCAGGAGCCCGAGGGGCACAGACAGCGTCCGCCTTGTTCACGGCTGTATCCCTCGCCCCGCCTGGCTTAAATATTTGTGGGATGAGCTGCAGCTGACAGGCACCGCCTCCTGGCCCAGCTGGCAGCCTCGGCTGCCCTGCGTCCTGCAGGAGAGCCGGCCCCCCCCGCGAGAGACAAGCCCGGCACAGATCCCAACCCTCCGGCATCTCCCAGTCAAGTCCCTGATTTGGGTTTCTAATTTGGGAGATGTGGGA